CCTTTCACTCCCTTTAAGGAGTCTCAAAGCGGCTAACATTCTCCTTTCCCTTCCTCCCCCACAACAAACACTCTGTGAGGTGAGTGGGGCTGAGAGACTTCAGAGAAGTGTGACTGGCCCAAGGTCACCCAGCAGCTGCATGTGGAGGAGCGGAGACGCGAACCCGGTTCCCCAGATTAGGAGTCTACCGCTCTTAACCACTACACCACACTGGCTCTCATTTATAAAAATAAATAAATTTTTTATTATTATTATTATTATTATTATTATTATTATTATTATTATGACAGTGGCGGACCTTGGGGTCTCAAGTTTCAGTGGTACTCTGTATGATGCCAAAATTTGGCACGCTCCCATCTTTTGCCTTGCATTCTGCATCATAGTTGTGGCAGCCCCTGCAGTGCTCCCTAGGCTCAACAACCAGTGCAACTTAACAGAGTTGCGCTCCCCTTAATCCGCCTCTGCAATGTGCTTGAACAGGTGTGTGCTTCCACACCTGTACGGTTTTGCAAAGCAGGTTAATTTCTCAAATGCTCAAGATGTCTTTTCAGTCCCACTGCTATGAAAATAGTTTTCTTCCTTCTTCATAAAAACCAACACCTTGACCTCCAAAGGTTTCTTGGTTTGTTTTCCTTGTTACTGAGCAGTCAGATTGGCTTTCATATTTTTACCCTCACCTTTTCTCGAAGCTTATCCGAATAATCTGGGCCCTCAAAGTGTCAAGCAGGATGTACATGTGGGAGTGAGAGAGATGATAGGAGAGGTCTATAAAGTCCTCTCTTTAGCCACGCTTTTGTGGTTCAGCTCCATTTGTTCTGTAAAGTCTGCCATTGTTTGGTAAAAGAGGGCAGTTTTAATGCCTGTATCACAGGTGTGGGCCTGAGACAGGGAGAGAACAGTAGCCATCTAGTGGAGTTCATGGGATGTAACTTAATCATTAAAATCCTCTTCATGATTGTCTTGTTTCACCCCAAGGGACAAAGTATATGCTTATATGACCTAGCCACTGTGATCCATGTGACGGTCACCTCCAGACTGGATTATTGTAACTCGCTCTACGTGGGGCTGCCCTTGAGACTGACCCAGAAACTCCAGCGGGTGCAGGATGCTGCGGCGAGACTCCTTGCGGGGTCCTTGCTGCAGGATCACATTCACCCAGTGCTATACCAGCTGCACTGGCTCCCAGTGGAGTACGGGGTCAGGTTTAAGGTGCTGATTTTAACCTTTAAAGCCCTATATGGCGTAGGACCCTCGTACCTACTGGACCGCCTCTCCTGGTATGTCCCACGGAGGACCTTACAGTCTTCAAACAAAAACATCTTGGAGGTCCCGGGCCACAGAGAGGTTAGGCTGGCCTCAACCAGAGCCAGGGCTTTTTTCGGCTGTAGCTCCGATCTGGTGGAACGCTCTGTCACAAGAGACTAGGGCCCTGCGGGACTTGACATCTTTCCACAGGGCCTGCAAGACAGAGCTGTTCCACCAGGCCTTTGGACAAGGCACAGTCTGTCCCCCCTCCTTTGTAATTCTTCACAGAACTCTAGCCCAATGGTTACCATCAATTTGATTTGAACTGATTTTATAATGAATTGATTTTAGAATGCTGTATTATTTTATTGTTGTTAGTTGCTCTGAGCCCGGCTTCGGCTGGGGAGGGCGGGATATAAATAAAATTTTATTATTATCATTATTAAAAACAACAACTGTTTTGCCCGAAGTTGTGGAATGGCTTTGAGGAGAGCAGAGTCTTGGCTCTTTATGAAGCCATGGTTTGACTAGTCTGCATGTTCAGACTAAGGTATTAAAATGTGGTGACAGTGTTACCTTGGTGTAAAAACACAAATTGAATGGATAGTATTCAAGGAAGTTTTACTCAGAGTGCAGCCTTTGGGATCACTGTTAGTCCCGTCCATTAATTTCAGTGGGTCTGTTCTGAGTATTGTATATGACCCAAGCTCTCTGAAATCCTACATTACAAACAAGGTGGAAATGAAGGGTCTTCTCAGTAGTGGCGCCCTCCTTGTGGAACGCCCTCCCATCAGATGTCAAGGAAATAAACAACGATCTGACTTTCAGAAGACATCTGAAGGCAGCCCTGTTTAGGGAAGTTTTTAATGGTTGAAGTTTTATTTTGTTTTTAGTCTTCTGTTGGGAGCCGCCCAGAGTGACTGGGGAAACCCAGCCAGTTGGGCGGGGTATAAATAATAAAATTATTATTATTATTATTATTATTATTATTATTATTATTATTATCATCATCATCATCATCAGATCCCTCTCTCTGTGTTGGCAAAGTGGGAGGAGGTAACCAAACGGGAGAAGGAAACAAAGATTTCCAGGAGAGGTGATGTGGCTACAATTTTATACCTCAGAATAACTAAAGCAAGGTCATCAACATGGTGCAGTTACTCTTCTAAAAACCAAATCAAAGAGTGTTTGAATTTTGCTATGAACACCTCATATGTAAGTTCCATTATGCTCTACAGTGATGCATATGGCAATGTGCATTGGTGCTTTCAGAAACAAATTACAGTGGTACCTCGGGTTAAGAACTTAATTCGTTCTGGAGGTCTGTTCTTAACCAGAATGACCACTCCCCGCATAAACGGGGGGTGCCCTTTGCGTGGACGCGTGCAGCCCCTGGATCTGGAGCGGCTCCATCAACACAGGCTTGGCTTTGCCTTCCCTCAGGTGGGATACCTGGAGATCTCCGCCTACCTCAGTCAGTTGTCTAATCCCACCTGGGGGAAGCGTTGCCAAGGAGACCAGGCCAGGTAGGGGAGGGATTACCTGCCCACACAATAGAGGGAGGATCTTACCTGGGAATCCTCACTTGGCTCCAGGCTTCTCCCACCCTACCCACCCTCAGTTAATGTCTTATTTTGCAGGTTAACTTTTCTTCACAGGTATGCGGGTGCTGCTGCATCAAGGTTGCTGTCAAAGGGCCGGAAAGGAATTCCCCTGCATTGGCAGGTTTCACCTTTCCCGTAGCAAAATGTCACAACTTTGGCAGTATCATGCCTTGGGCGGAATCCTTAGTCTATCTTCCTCTTTACAGCGGCGATACCAGGGTTCCCCGTTAAAGGGGTTTCTGAAGGGAGGCTTTGACCGTACGCCGAAAGGTCGTCATTGCTCTCCCCTGCGGCGGTGGCGTAACGGGGGCGGCTATCTCTGCTTGAACATATGTTCTCCAGAGCCGGCCCATCCCCCCCCACACACACACTGGATAACCCTGATGCTCCCTAGGTCCCCGGCTGGGGACTGGGGAGGGATAACGCCCAATGCCTGAGCCAAGGTCTACCCACATCTGAAATATAATAAAGTTGTGGCCAATTTAATCCCATAGCACGTTGTCTTGAGTCGTTATTCCACATGATGGGGGGGGCGCCCGGGATCTGAGGGACTCCACCTGTCCACGCAAGCGCCACTTTAGCTAATGGGGCCTCCTGATGCCACTGTGCTGCCGGCGTGCGATTTCTGTTCTCATCCTGAAGCAAAGTTCTTAACCCAAGGTAATATTTCTGGGTTAGCAGAGTCTGTAACCTGAAGCATATGTAATCCAAGGTGGTCTGAAGTCACTTTTTTTAAAGAGCATGGCTTTCCCCAAGTAGTCTTGGAGAGTGTAGTTTAGCCTCCACACAGTTACAACTCCCAGTACCCTTAATAAACTACAGTTCCCATGATTTTGGGGGGAAAGCTGTGTGCCTTAAATATGCACTGAATGCACTTTAAATGTATGGTGTGGTCCTGAGACATGAAGGCGAGAGGTGAGATGCTCCCTTTGCTACTCTTAAATTATACCTGTGGCTCCATGACTGAGCATCTCAGATTAAATCCACAATCATGTAGGGAGGACGAAGCACATGCTTTTCATGCAGAAGGCCTTAGGTTCATTCACTGGCATTTCCAACTAGAAGCCACCTGCTTCTCAAGACTCCAGAGAGCTGCTGCTAGCCAGAGCCGACAAAGCGCGTTCTCCATTAAATGAGAGCACGGGTTGCGGTGTGGGCCGCCGGGCCAGCCTTGTGTTGCCAGGCAGGTTAATGGCTATTTGCCTGGTGCATCGATTGGCTGACCAGGTTGCTAGGGCAAATTGCATGTAGCAAATTGGTGGGTGGGACCATAGTCTTTAAATATTGGGGCACTCTGGCTTTTGGTTTCTCTTTAGCAGAGTGCATCGGATCACGCGCCCGCCCGCCCTGTGTTCCGGTTGACCTTGCTTTGCCTGTCATGGGGTCGTCTGCCTTGGTGCAGGGGCCTAGTAGGAATTTTGCCATTTGGTTGATTGGCTGGTGCCATTTGGTTTTTGCCTACTACTTAGCAATTCGTCACAACTTGTAAGGTTGCGGTTAGGCATTGGTTATAAAAAGCTGGTGGTGGAGGGGTCAGGATAGGCTGTGCCTGCCCCCCCCCCCAATGGTGCTGAAGGGAATTCCGTTAAAGGAATCCTGGGGCTTTCCACAATTTCGTCCAATCCCTGAAATGGGACCAGGGCTGGCAAGCTTTGGGGAGCTGGTTGGGTGAGCGGTGAGGGACTGACGCTCAGCTCAACTGATCCCCAACATTGACTTTCCCTTCAACTGGCTTCAACTGTCCCAGGCGCGGGGGACGGGGACAGATAGTCATAACCAATGTCTAAACAACCACTCACAGATTTTGTATTTTAATAAAGTTGTGGCCAAAATAGTGCCCAAAAACCTAAAACTAAAATTACGTGTGATGTGTGAATTATTTTGAGGGGTGGCTTGGGGACCTACACACGCAATACTATGCTGGATGCTCCAATGGTCTAATTAAGAACAAGGCAAGTTCATATGCTCATGCCCTCATCCAGCCTGGGGACTAGTGACATGACTCAAAAAGACTGAAAAAGGATGCCTGAATTCCAGGGAAAGACCAGTGTGAATTGTGGAAACAGTTTTAGCAGATTGGCAATGCACATAAAACCTGGGGGGGGAGAGGTTGGAGTAAAAGAAGGCAAGGAGAACAGCAGGCTTAAAAATGACAGTTGCTCTTTATTTGTCACGCAGCCTTGCATGGGTCCATAGCCATTAGAATCAAGCGTTAGAATTCAGTGTTACAGTTCATAAAACAGCAGCAGCAGAATAAGCAATCACCTTTTCCAATTTTTGTTTTCACTTCAAAGAAGGAATCAAATACGATTTTGCTGTTAAAAAATAAGCGCTGTGCATGTTACAACAGAAGGGTGAGAGCCAGATCTTATCACTGGTGTCTCAAAACTATTTCCTTTTGGCAAGATCTGATGACTTTACGGGTCTACAGCTTTACACTGTCTCCATTTGAAATTACAAAGAACATGCTTGAACAGGAGAGAGATTTCAGAAAGTGTGTGTGCAGGCGGATTCGTGCTGCCTGTCTACCTGGAAGTTCCCATAAGCTTTGATGTTAACTGTCTATTAAGCATAGCACTGAAAGCTGTTAATTCAACCAAGAACTTAACTTTAAGTGCAAACTTAAATCTGATTGCCGTCCAAAGGACCTAAGGGTGTATTTAAGGTTAACCATCTACTACATGAACTTTTCTAAAATGGGATCCCCTTTTTACCACACACCTAGGAGCAATCATGCAATCACTGAACAGTGAGACCCTGTAGCTTAGTAGATAATTTTGAGACCTTTGTTTAAAGAGCTCTATGGATGGCTCACGATTTGTCAGCACAGGAGCTCACTGCGCACTGGCTGCAGCTGATCCCGGCGCAAAAACCTGCGATCCGAGTCAGCAGTGCTGGATCAGGGTGCAAAGGTCTGGATCCATATTGCAGGCAAACTCAAATGGAAAAGGTGACAGTATCAGAGGGGAAGAGCTTTGCTGAGCTATTTACACAGTGGGCTGAAGAGCTTCGATTTGCAGGTGGCAACGCTCATTGCTATTTCAGAAGTGGTGGTGGTAGTGGCGAGTTAACCCTTTCTAATAGACACTTTTCTTGCTCGAAGTGGTTTTTGATACAATTTTCACACTGGAGCTTCCTCCTCCTCCACTTGAGGAGACACGGCCCCCGCCAGAACTGTAACTGCTACCACCTCCCATACTGACTCCGCCGCCGTAGCCACTGCCACCGCCGAATCCACTGCCGCCGCCGAAGCCGCCGCTGCCGCCGCCGAAGCCGCTTCCACCTCCAACCGCATAGCTGCCTCCGCCGCCTCCGAGTCCGAAACCTCCTCCCATGCCGCCACCGTGTCCTCCTCCTAACGCAAGGCCACTTCCGCCTCCGTAGCCAGAGGTGGTGGTGCTGCTGACCACAGCTGGAAAATATTAACAACGGAAAGTTAAGTTCCTTGTGTCTCTTGGAAAGAGCCATGATTTCAACAGAATCTCTTTGAACCAATGTTTCTCAAACTTGGGTCCCCATCATCCCTAGTGGCCAGGGATGATGGGAGTTGTGGTCCAACAATGGCTGGGGACCCAAGTTTGAGAAACACTGCCTTAAGCAAACAAAAACCAGCAGCTCACTTTTATTTTCAGAAAGGTAACCAATTTATACTAGCTGCTATTCAAATTTTTCAAGCTAAAGTGTCGTCCCAGCTACTTTTTGGGATCCCAATATGGATACAAACATATAATAGTGATTTAGATAAGTTTCTTGAGACGTATCCTGTTTAGGGAAGTTAAATGACTGAAGTTTTAATGTATTTTTAATATTTTGTTGGAAGCCGCCCAGAGTGGCTGGGGAAACCCAGCCAGATAGGTGGGGTATAAATAATAAATTAATTATCATCATCATCATCATCCAGGAACTCCCAAGTTCAATCAAGTGTGAGACAATGTAATGTGTGCAGGACTAAGTATACACATGATGGAATATTGGTTGTGGGCTAGCACTATAAAATACTGGCTGCGTTGCTGTCGCCAACCTTTGAGTCTGCTTTCTGACTTATTTAAGAACTCTTAGAAATCCAGATGGTTCCAACTCTTACACAGCAAAATCAGATCTATTGGTATTGACTTGGAACTCTTGTGTAATTCAAGTGAGCAATGTATTTATCGCAATATTCAAATCAGATTAAGGGACATCAGAAAACAAAACATCAAGTCAACTGTAAATAAAATTTGCTCCCCCAAGTTCTATGGTTTAAATACAACAGATAACAGGGTCACTTATATTTCAAAATTAAGAATTCCAGTCCAATGCAGGGCCTTTATGTTAGCCCAACTGAACTGTTTCCCCCTCAGCTTTTGTCAAGGGCAGATATTTAAACATCCCCAGAAATGACAGACGTTGCAGATGTTCTTTGAACGTGCCAAATAGAACACAGTTTTTTCTACTGTCCATTGTACAACCAGCTATGCAAACGTGTGCTATTTTGGGTGTCTAACATCATGGCACAAGGAAAATATCAGATTCTATCTTTCTGATATTAACTGGAAGAAACTGCAAGGGTGGCTGAGTTTTTATCAATAGTATCTCATAGAGTGGTGAATGGCACTATTTTGCAGAAAGAATCTCCAATGAAAATCCTCATTGTTACATATTTTTAAAGTTCAAGTATATAAATAGGTACCGCTCCGGCAGGAAGGTAAACGGCATTTCCGTGCGCTGCTCTGGTTTCACCAGAAGCGGCTTAGTCATGCTGACCACATGACCCGGAAAAACTGTCTGCGGACAAACGCCGGCTCCCTCGGCCAGTAAAGCGAGATGAGCGCCGCAACCCCAGAGTCATCCACAACTGGACTTAACTGTCAGGAGTCATTTACCTTTTTTTACATGGCTGTTTATTTGTATATATTTTAACATTTTATATATGGATGTTTTATGATGGCCTATATTTGTAATGCCTAATAAAGGTTTGGCGAAGTAAGTAAGCAAACAAAAACGGAAAGCAAATCCAGAAACAAAGATGGTACTTACAGTAGCTCACATTTCCAGGGCCTTCTGACAACCTAGGAAGATGAAAGAAGGACATAATTGGTATAATTAATTCAGTGGATGCCTCAGCTTGTAGTAAACTAGGTCCCACATTTTAATCTAATCAAGGAGCTATTGTGAAGGTAGAACTCTTGAGGAGTCATCTGTTCCTTAGCCAAGTAAAAGTTGCATATTCACACAGCATCTTTTTTTTAAAAAAAACAACCTGCAAAGAAAAGTCAGCTCATTCTCCTTTTTTGGTCATAATGTTGCTAATTGCTTTAGGAATGCATATGTGCATGATTCTGTATGTTTAATTGATTGATTGATTATGCAGTTATTTGCTTTTCCTCTATTCTAAGCAGCTAAAGACAGGTAATTTAAAGCAAGCAATTATCAGTTTTGTATGTGTGTGTGTAACAATAAAATAGGCAACAGGAGTGTAATCCCCACAAAATTCACAGTAAGAGAAAGTCACCCACCAACATTCTCAAAAGACCTTTCCAAAGAGCTACAGTTAAACCAAACAGTGGTTATTGCATATATAATAATAGGACCAGATGGAAAAGGCAAAGGGAATCTGTAGCTCTTCAGATGTTACTGAACTCCAATTCCCACCCTCCCCAGTTAGCATGATGAATGATCAGGGGTGATGAGAACTACAGTCCAAAAACTTCCAAAGGACCATAGGCTGTTATACTTCCTTGCTATACTGTAGAAGTAGTCTTTCCCCCTCACATTTCAACAAATGCTAAGGGTAGCCCCATACCTTGACATCTGCCTAAACACAACTGCACAAGAACATGATATTGTGGTTGGATTGCCAGGAACCTTACTGGCACCTCAGGCACATCCATCAATACCTTCTATAAGCTTCAAGGTGTGATTTTTGCCTGGATTTAAGGTGAGTTTGGAATGTTCTCTTTGGGGGAAATTTAAAATGAATGTTGATGGTATCTATTTAAAGGGGAGATGACCGATTGGTTTAGTAAACCACCAAGGGCATTTTTGCTAGAGTATGGTTGCTGCTGCCAGCCTACCTGATTTCCTCTCCTTCTAGCAGCTTCCTGTAGGTGGCGATTTCAATGTCCAGGGCCAGTTTGACGTTCATCAGCTCCTGGTACTCCTTGAGCTGGCGAGCCAGGTCCTGCTTCGTTCTTTGCAGGGCTTCCTCCAACTCATTCAGCTTGTGCCTGGCATCCTTGAGGGCTAGCTCTCCACGGTCCTCAGCCTCAGCAATGGCAGCTTGTAGATTGGCACACTGCACACAAGGAGATTTATTTATTAATGATACTAATAAGAAGTGCAATATCTGGACAGTTTTTGGGACCATCACCAATAAATAATAACTGTGATTTGTGGGCATTTTTTCTGGGGGGGGGGGGGTTATTACTATGGTCCAATCTTCCCCCTTCCCTACACCAGGAAAAAAAAAGTTTCACCCAGTTAGCGTCTAAAGTTTTTGTTTGTGGCTCCAGATATTCCAGCCAATAGCCAACATTGTCCGAGGATTAAAGCAGAGGATTTGTGCTCTCAAAGATCTGGATGTTTTCTTTCACCAAATCTGCCAATGGCATTAATGGAATCCATGGAGTGCTTTTCAAATAAAGTTTGATTGCAACTCCTGGAGAGCACTTTTGGAATGGTTGCCGTGGTGGGACGGGACTTCTGCATGAAAACTGTTACAATGGGGAAAATTAGGGGAAATGCTCCTTCCATCCTTTAATGATTCATGAGTACTCCCAGGAAAGTCCAATGGACAATGAATTCTGATGCAAGCCCTGAAATGGCCATGCTCACATGCAGCAAGATGCTGTGTACAGCTTGTGCTATCTGCAGAGGTGACCCAAGAGGTATGGACACTGCGTGCACAATTCATCTCCTACCAAGATACTGGTAAGAAGGTGTAGATATAAAACCATAACAATAACTAGATTGACTCATTGTAGATACATGCTAGGGGTGCATTATCATGCACCCGAGCATGTGTGTGGGTTGTTCATTTTGCCCATTTTCTGCAGTGCTGGAAATAACCTACATTTGATGAGGGCAGATCTGTCCCCAAGCAGTGAGGCTGAGTGCAACTTTTTGCGTGTAAAAAATATTATGCTTCAGCAGGGCCTCCACTGTACACTGCATTAATTCCCTGCTCCCCACAGGCATGCCTCCATGTGCATACCTGCAGTAATTCCAAAAGCAGTGCTCAGAGTGTAAGCATTTTCCAATGTCTATACCCCATGTCTTCTGCGCATTTATATATATTTACATAGGGGTTTTGTTTTGTTGTTGTTTTTTGCTTTGCGGTGCCCATTCCCTAAGAGTGGGTTAAAAGGCAAATGATCAATATGAATAAGAATTAGGTTTGCTTTGCTTTTCTTGGCAATAAGGGAAAGATATCAGCACACACTCCTATTGTGAACTTTGTAGGGTGTGGACTCTTTCAGTACACTGTCTACCTGTGTGGTACCTAGGGAAATGTGGAGGAGGAGATTCCTCCTCGCCTTTGCAATGCCTGGGAGATACTGTAAAACAACTAATTTATGGTTTGTTCAACTCTCTTGCATAGACACCCTGTAGCACTTGTGCAATGAGAGCTGTATTATTATCCGTGATATTTATCAGCACCGTGAAACGGACTGATAGTGATGATTAAACCTTTGTTACTAACAGCATCATCCATAGCAACCAACACCATTTCTAAAGCCAGTTTCAGAGGAGGAGGAGAAAGAGCCGGGCAAATTAGTACTCCCAAACCCTATTTCCATGCATCTCCTACTACTTCTGTACTCACTTTGCTTGCCTTTCTTGTTTTGCCACTGCTAGTGCAGCAGAAGCATCCTTCCCCATCCTTCCCCTCTCAACTGCATTCTGAGGAAGGGAAGGAGCGTCTTTCTCAGAGCAAGGCATTCTGGGAGAGGTGGCCTGGGACAGTGCCTGCACTCCCACATTGGGCTGACCTTGGCTAGTGCCCTGTCTTGTGCTTGCCCTGGTATGACCTTGTTGAGGGCGACTTGGTTTGCCCAAAGTGAGTTAGCAGCTACTCAATTACTATTCTATGAAACAGAAGCAGCCACTGATCTGCCCTGCATGCCAAACATAAAAAGATTGTACCTGTTTCTTCACGGCATCAATTTCACTTCGCAGCCTCTGGATTATCCGGTTAAGCTCAGAAATTTCTGTCTTGGTGTTGCGAAGGTCATCACCGTGGCGTCCGGCAGAGACCTGTAGCTCTTCATACTAATATTCAGAGGAAAAGGAGGAAGGATTAGAATCTGATCCATTATATATGGTTGTCACCCCCACAACAGAGCTGGGAAATCAGGTGGGAGTGAGAACTAAATGTAGCCCCAAAGGAGCACCAGATTGAGGGAGGCTGGGACACTGACTTTCAGATGATAGATAAATAAGTGTTGTAAGGTTTCAGTGTGATCAATTGTCATTGCATATGTCTTTTGCTGGGATGTGGGTGGCACTATGGTCTAAACCACCGAGCCTAAGGCTTGCCGATCAGAAGGTCAGCAGTTCGAATCCCTGCGACAGAGTGAGCTCCCGTTGCTCGGTCCCAGCTCCTGCCCACCTAGCAGTTTGAAAGCACACAGTGCAAGTGCATAAATAGGTACCACTCCAGCGGGAAGTTAAATGGCATTTCTGTGTGCTGCTCTGGTTCGCCAGAAGTGGCTTAGTCATGCTGGCCACATGACCCAGAAGCTGTCTGCAGACAAACGCTGGCTCCCTTGGCCAGTAAAGCAAGATGAGCGCTGCAACCCCAGAGTCGTCCATGACTGGACCTAACGGTCAAGGGTCCCTTTCCCCTTCCCTTTCCCTATGTCTTTTGCTAACACTTTGAGGCAGCCACAACTGAGACAGGGAATTAGCTAGCAATCTCAGGGTGTTCCATACATCTCTGTCTTGCATCGAATGACATGGTTTTGAAAAGCAAATCTGAGAAGTGAGGGCTCAGCTATTGCTGGAGGCCTGCAGGATCACCAGGCCAGATGTATCTGTCAAGCATTATTTCTGGATGAAGCTACACCTATGATAGGGCTGATGGGTGAACTTCAGCCTGCTCTCTCCAAACAGGAGATCTGCTTGCCATCCAGGACCAGGGCTGGCCGGAGATATTTTGGACCCTGAAGTGGAAAATCTAAATGGTTCTTCTCCTCTTCCAGTTTTTAAAAAAAGTTATAATAAAAGAAGTTACTTGCTCCACTTCAATGACACTAAGAATCTGCTGCCTGAGGCAGCTGCCTACTTAATAGCAGGGCCAGCTCAACCACAGAGGAAGAAAGCTGCCAAGATGGTACGGGCGAGGATTTGCTAAGTTTTATTTGCTAAGCCACTCTTCATTCAGGTCCTCTTTCCATTAATACTTTAGGAATGGAATCTCATTGCCACACCTTTTACTTTGCTCTCCATAGACAGTCAAGATCAATTCAAGTCCCTATTTGCTTTCCGTATCTGTGTTGCCACAGTTTATAATTCCAGCTATTTATTTCTAGAATGGCTTGCTGAGCAGCAGGACAGCAAAGGGGGCACATTTCCACCCCAATCTCAGCCGTTTCACTCTCTTAGCTTTTCACACTTTTCTTAAGTGTTGTGAATACAATCCTTATACACTACACATGTTGCAAATCTTTTGAAGTTCCTTAGAGAGTCTGACTGATGTATCTCCTGAGGAAGACCCTTCATATTTGCTTCAAATTTGACGTTAAGTTGAACCCAAGAGTATCTCTGAGTATTTCGAGCCTGCCTGGTCTACACACGTCAATGAGTTAGGAGGTAAAATCTGGTTGAGGTAGCAGACCAGGGGTCACCAGTGTGGTGTCCTCTAGAATCTAGAGTCTAGATGTTGTGGTCTCCAACTCCCACCATCCCTGATCATTGACCATGCCACTGAGGCTGATGAGAGCCCAACAACAGCAACATTGACTATCCCTGTACTGCTTTAGGTTGCAGGTGGAGGATGCCATTTTGGACTGTTCCCTTATCAAAAACTTTCTTAGCTTAGAGGTAACTCCTAGGCCTTGAGCTGCCACTCACCTTGCTTTGATACCAGCTTTCAGCCTCGGTTCGGCTCCTGTTGGCGATGTCTTCGTACTGCGCCTTGACTTCAGCAATGATGCTGTTCAGGTCCAGGCTTCTGTTGTTGTCCATTGACAACACAACAGAGGTATCTGATACCTGCTGCTGCATGTTAGCTAGTTCCTGCAAAGATAAAAAAAAATGTGTCTGATTGTATGAAGCAATGGAACATGGCAGTTTTGAATGTAGAAAATAAAAACCTTCTGTAAATTCTCCAAACCCGAATTTTTAATTTTTTTGCAAACATGTTCATTTATATTCTGATTTGAATGGCTTCTACTTTTCACCCTTCACTGTTCCCTATGATGGATTTTGTTGCATTCTGGAATGCATTGAAAGAAGGCAGTATAAATGTATTTAGGGAGTTGCTTACTTAACATGGTTGTTATCTAGGTAATTGTACTGACTGAGCAAGGAGATTCCCACGTGGAACCCATTTTTTATGTGGATAGCCAGTGCAGATTATATATATATATATATATATATATATATGCGCATCTTCAACCCCGTCAAATTGTGATGCTCATCAAAGCCCAATGAACTAACTGCTTTTTGATTGGCATCCCCAGCTGGTACCACCACTGCTTAAACATTTGTCTGTGATTCAAACTGCATCAAGGCCAAAACATTTTCACATTCTTTCAGACACGGGTGCAAACTGAACAGGAGAATGTGCCACTTCTACTAACACAGTATTATGAAAACACTCAGGATTCTTTGGTTTATGAAAAAGCTGGCCTCCAAAAAGGAAGTTGTTGATTTGACGATGACCAAAGTGCACATGAAAAACTGGAAACTCTGGAGGATTATTTTTCCCAATGGCATAGTCAGCGCAGGGACAGATAATCTGGGGTCCCACTCATCAGAATGTGCAGGAGGATCCCAAACACAGCAAGACTATCTTACACATCACTATCTAGAAGACTCACTCCCAATAACACCATTCAGTCCAGAAAGTCTAAAATTACCAAACTGCCCCCACTTTGCTTGAGTTTTGACACTTTGCAGCACGAATGAAATAACTGCGCAGTTAACAAATCTTCCCCTTTTGAGACATGAACCTTACATATATGTTTTGAAAATTGTAGTCTGATCCTCAGCTCAGCTATACATTGACACACACAGAATAGGCAAGATAAGCCAGAGTACTATTTTTGTTTGCTCTTTCTAAAGGCTAAGAACAAAAGAAGAGCCCTGCTGGATCATGCCCAATTTAAAGGCCCACTTAGTCCAGCATCCTGTTTTCACAGCGGCCAACCAGATGTGTATAGGAAGCCTGCAAAAAGCCCCTGAGTACAACATCACACTTACCACCCATAATTCCCAGAAACTAGTAATAAATAATAATAATGGGGACAGGGGCATTGCTTTTGTTTGTTACTGTGCTGTGTATTTCTGCGTTTTTATATTGTAAACTGTGATCCTGAGATGAAGGGCAGTATGGAAATTTAATAAAGAAGAATAAAAAGAATGCTCTCCAGAGGAATGCAACTTCTGACAATGGAGGTTAAACGGGGGTAGAAAAAACTTGTGGTTTTGTATCACCACTGCTGAATTCTAATGTGTGGCTTCACTTATTGGTTTATTATAACCGCCCATTATCATTCTCATCTTTCTTCCCAACTGCCGGGAGCTAAACTCAAATTGCATTGAATAAGCTTCAGTTACAAAAAAAAAAAAGAAAGAAAAAAGTTTCCTAATCAAAGTGATTAATATGACTTGGATCCTGAGCCAAGAGCGGAGGTGGATTTTCCAAGGCTTGCAAGCATCAAGCCCGGACTAGACACTTTCCCCAAGGGAGAAGCGTTATTCAAATACAGCTCCCTGTCTTCTTCCAGTAATAGCTGGAGGAAAGTATTCATACATTGCACAAGATGTGATAATTGATGCCAGTAAGTCTCTGCTCGCTTTAAAATCTATTCAAATGCATCAGCAAAGGTAGGTGGGGACAGAAATAATAATCCCCAAAACCTCCTTGAGAAATGTAACGTTCCCAGCGGAAAACACAACATGAAATTTTCCACAGTGGAGTATCTAAATGAGTGATGCATTTATACATGCTTCAACAAACCCATGTGATTTGCATGTCTCAGGAGCTCCTCCCATACCCTCCTTTGCATTTCCATTAGCATTTTGCTTTTTAGATGGCCCTCTTTATGTTGTGTAAATAGGTAATGTTAACTTAGAATGGTTTTGTTGCTGTTGTTGAAAGGGAAATGTATTTTCAAGATGAAGGTCCAAATCGGAATTCATTTTCCCTCTAAAATGTTCTGCTGCCACTAGTGGAACAGCTTTCCTAGCCCTATGATCATATCTATATCTATATCTATATCTATATCTATATATCTATATCTATATCTATATCTATATCTATATCTATATCTATATCTATATCTATATCTATATCTATACCTTCGTTTGCCTGAACTACAATAAAACATGCCTACACACACACACACACACACACACACACACACACAGTTTGAAAATGTGTATGTTTCCAGAGAACTTTTATGTAATTCCAGCTTTCCAATATAGTTCCTGCCTACTTGAGGATGCATACAAATTAGAGAAGCCAGGATTCTGCTTTAAGTTCCCAGCACCTACTGGGCTCAGTGCTTCTATGTTTTCTGGAGGGAGGATAGCACATGTCTTGCATGCAGAAGGTCCCCAGTTCAGTTCTTGGTATCTCCAACTGGCAGGGCTTGGAAAGGCACCTGGCAGAGATAATGCCAGTTGGAGTAGCAAGTATTGGACAAGATGCTGCAATGGCTTGGACTGGCTAGGATGTTCATTTCAATTCTAAAGTGAAATTTTCAGGTGCCTAAGGGAGGACGCTTACCATTTCAAACAGGTTTTTCAGGAACAGAATTTCATCATTCAGAGAATCTGCTTTGCTACCGAGCTCAATCTTGTTCATATAGGCACCATCAACATCCTGCAAAAAACATGAGAAACATCAGTAAATTTTGAGGGGTGGGGAGAATTAGAGCTATTTAGAAGGACCATCTTTTGAAACAATGCAGCAAATCAGGCAGGTTTTGTTTAATCTCATGAAGAATCCAATATTGCAGACATTGAATGTCACCCTTCCATTTTTTAAAAAATGTAAGTTTGGCAGGACAACATGGACATTGAGCAGTTGTTAAAGGCCACAGCAGAATAGCATTATTAAATGTAGAAACTGTCCAAGATCTGTCACCATCAACCTCTGCAGCTGAAGACTCTTTGGTACTATGCTATGTCAAAGATCTCTCAACCAAGCCTGGTAGTTGTGTGCTAGAAGAGAACCAGCACAGAGCAGCTGGTCATTGTTCAGGACCAGGGATGGTGAACTTGTGGCCCTCCAGATGTTGTTGGAATCCAACTCCCTCCAGTTCCAGCCAATGGCCAAGGATGTTGACTACAACATTTGGAGAACCATAGGTTTCGTGTCCTTGCACCATGTTACTTAAGATATTGTAATGATAAAATAAAATGTACCTTCTTCAGCACCACAAATTCATTCTCTGCACCGGTACGCTTGTTGATTTCATCTTCATATCTGTTGGGGCAACAGAGAGCAAAGGTAGCACCAGAACTTTTCAGGATGAGAACTTAGCATAGCTACCAGAAAGAAAGCATGAGGAGGTCAAGAGCAGCCCATTCTATTCAGAATTCACACTTCGCCAAGGCATTTGGTTCAAAGTGATTGGCTGCAAAATTATCTCCTTGAAGCTCAACACAACCAGGTTATTAACCCTTGCAGAAGCACTATCTGCACAGTGCATGGGCTTCTCCTTGGAGGACTTCCAGAGCATGTTGATAGATTACCAGGACCATGCTTTTAATGGCCAGCTGCAATTGTCTCCTGATGGCCTCTCTCATGCTTTTCTTATTGTGCTCTTATCTACACCACTGCAGAGAGCTAGTGGAAGAAATGTGTGTCTGCAATGGATGTGTTACATTCAGGCTGTCAGAATCCACCCTCCTGCTTTAACTGCTAAATACACATTGACCCTTCTTGCTGGATGGATTAGCAACAGCGTTTAAATGTCAAGCCAAATATGAAAACAGAAAATTCTGCATGCATTTTAAGGGAAAGCATGCGCTATAGATTTAAGTTGGTTTAGCAATCCTCCCACAGGGAAACCCGGGAACTGTAGTTCAATGTGCAGGAGTAGACAAGAATGACAGTACTCAATTCTCTGAGCAATTTCAACCCACAATATTATACGGGAGAAGCCATTATTGGTAGACAAGCATGAAATAGATGTTTTTGCAGCATAGGTAAGCTGTCTTGCTACTTGCCCCACCCAGTTACACAGAGGGGTGGGTGACTTAGTCAAATTCTGTTCTAAAGGTTCCTCATTTTTCCAATCTTAAATACAGTATTCTATATCTTCCACAGCAATTTGCATTAAAAAGAATCATCATGAAAATTTGTATGCACTTTAAAGCACATTTTAATGAACACATTTTTGTATTCAGTTTTAACGTACACCTTTTAGCCAGCAACTTTCCAGAATACAATGCATCTTTGTATGCTATTTTCATGAATACTTCTGTCATTATGCACATTAATTCCTAATACATGCATAATTTGGTAGAAAACTGCATTGTGAAATTCAGAGAAGTGCAAAATTTGACAGACGGCTGGATACAGTTTGCATGTTGGTTCTGGAAATGTGAATTAAGTAGGTTTCCCATGCAAATGCAAAAATGTCTCAACCCTCCCGAGTTTTGGCTTGGCTAGACTACTTAGGAGATACAAAGCGATTTGTTCTATAAATGCTTTTCTGAGGAGGCACATATTCCCTCCTTAAGCAATACTGAAAGGCTGTTTCATGCACCTTACATGTTTTTGGCATACATCTAATTTTCCCCTTTAGAAATGCTTTTAAAAATTGCAATATGTGAATAAAACAGCCACATGTCTGGAAACACGTGTCTCATATCACTGAGAGCCAGGGATTGGCTGGTGAGCCCAGCTGAGCATATATACCGACTAGCTCCCATTAAATTTGTAAAATGGCTCTGAAAGGCAGTAGATGCCCGTGCTGTAAGAAATGACCTCTGTGCCATGGCATCAATGATGTAATGCTAATTCACTGTACAGTTTAATGGAATCTCTGATTGCTTAACTAGGTGTGGCAAGAGGAACTGTGGTTGTGTGTTAGAGGCATCCCTTTTATGAAACTTCATGACTTAGGGCCAAGTGAACCCTTTTGCTGGGCAGGGTGGAGCAGACTTCAACAAGAGAAAGGCAGGAAGGATTTGCATCTCGCAGGTTCATCCTTAGAAAGCTCTGCTGACAGATCTTTGGTAATTTAGTTTGCCTTCCAGCAAAAGGATTTCAAAAAGGGGATTTTTTTTTTTTTTTTTTTGGTATAGATAGAGAAATTATTCTTACCACCAGTTCATCTATCTCCTTTTTGCCTCGTCAGTCATTTTGAGCAATTTGATGGAGAGGCACTGCCAACAGAGTATTAGGCAGCAATCCTAGCCAAGTTTACTCAGAAGTAATTCCTACTGAATTCAGTGGACTTATGGCTAGGTAAATGGGAATGCAGCCTTAGCTTCACCCATGAATTCTGCCAAGCCTTAGCCAACAAAAGTTTATACAGATTCAAGAACAGTTGTTTCGTTAAACAAAAGGAAGCATGTGAAAATAACTTACAGAGCCATATAATACTCAGTCAACCTGAATAAACATGTTCATGATATACAGTAAGCGCGCCCTGGCACTTCTATTTGGATCCTTTCAAGGAAGGTAAAGTTTAGTTCTCCAAGACACCCAGAAAGAAAAAGAGTGACTTTGTTTGCCACAAAACAGGTTACTCCAGATCAAAGGACACAGTGGACGTGCACAGGGATTTTCACCAGTGTATTTTGATCGTTAGATATTTTGGGACCAATAGAAGGTGCTAGCCTATAAGAGCATTCAGATTCTTACCATATCTAAGGCTGCAGCCCTATCCACACTTACTTGGGAGTTAGACCCATTGAACCTAATGGGATCAACTTCAGGGTTAACATATGCATATGTCTGGGCCAAACCCCTAGCAGTAAATGTTACCCTTATCTCTCTGTATGGAGGTTAGACGGAGTATTCCTATTTATGTGAATTGGAACAGACAGGTTCTTACTTGTTCTTGTAGTCTTCCACCATGTCTTGCATGTTCCTCAGTTCTGAGTCCAGTCTTCCCCGTTCGTTCAAAATAGAATCAAGCTGCCTCCTGAGGTTGTTGATGTAAGTCTCAAACATGGGTTCAATTCTGTTTTGTCGGACAGTTGTCCCTTGCTGTTGTAAGAGGTCCCATTTGGTTTCAAGGACTTTATTTTGCTGTTCCAGGAATCGGACCTGCAAGGTGGAATGGTAAAGGCATTGGTGGTGCTGTATACAGGCAATCCACAAATCTGCTGGACAGAAAAGGATGAGCTGTCCAGTGAGATGGAGATAATAAGTGAAGACCCACGCTTGTTCAATGAAGATGTTGCCTTAACCCCTTAGTCCTTGTCCCCCAGCTGAAACGGAACCTAAATGCATCTTCTCACATCTGTCTCTCCTCTCCTCATTTGTCTCTTTCATCTCAGTGTTTAGATGGTAAGCTCCTTTGGCCAGGGTGCTATCTTTTGCTTATATTACTTCCTAATGTGCCAGAATGGTACAACAGAGAACAGAAGGAATTATGAGGGATAAAAAAGGAGAAAGAGCAAGGAGAGGAAAAGGGGTCAAGAAAATCAGGTAAGAATGGTGAAAACTGGCAGGAATGACTGGCAGCCTCTGCTTAGACACTTTGCTACTACTACCAGATCCTCAGCAAGCGCACACTATTATCAACCAACCAATCAAGAGTCACTCCAAAGAACATAGACCTAGAATCATTAGGGAGGAGTTGATGCTCCAAGTAATCTTAAAAATTGTGTACTTTTTATATGCATATTTATTGGCATGCCTTTAAATAATAATAATATTAATAATAATAATAGGGTGTTAGATTTCCTTTATCACATTTACCGGTAGATCTTGTTATACACCCGAGAAACTCTGACCAGCTGCACTCTAACATCAATGACACCACACTGCCATCTTGCAAAAGAGATTTGTCACTTTGATCAAAGTATTAACAGAACCATACATGGAGATCATGCTCAGCTCCAACAACTGAGGAGCTGACTGTGAAACGGATGCCAAAGGCGAGCCTCTGTGACAGAGGGTTCAGAAGCAATCAAAGGCTTCCAGAGTTAGACTACAGTACTTCACTCATGCTGCATTTTCCCTCTACTGGTTTTGGAGACTAGAGATGCCCAGCTTCTCCATGACTGGGGACCTCTCTATTTTCCTTGGAGAGGGTTTTTTTTTCACTCAGCCAGCCTCCGCACAGACAGTATGCCAGGAAATGACGTGGTCATCCCGGCCATTAACAATGAATCTACTCAACAATTGCATGCACACAATGTCTCTGGAAATTGGAAATGCTTAATCACTCTTAAACATACTCCTACTTATAACACGGCCTCATGGAACAGCAAACTTTTTTTTCTTTCTCTTTTGCAGGTTTTAGATCTGAGCCAAGGAATCAGTGGCCCTTCGTTTTGCTGTTAGACTGCCACTTCCATCAACCCTGGCCATTGGCCATTCTGGCTGAGGCTGATGGGATTTGGAGTCCAACAAAGCCTAGAGGCTAACACATTGACTACCCCTGGTCTAGACCATCTTAAAGAGCCGTTGTGGTGTTGGCCTGATTTGGTGACAAGTCACCTGCAACATAGTGCCTTAGTGGTTAAGAATGATCACAAAGGTATTAATTCTGGTACTTACCTTGTCAATAAAGGAGGCAAACTTGTTGTTGAGTGTCTTGATCTGTTCCCTCTCATGTGTGCGGACTCTTTGGATCTCTGGGTCAATCTCAAGGTTGAGGGGTTGTAGGAGGTGCTGGTTGACGGTCACCTCTTGGATGCCACCGGGTGGGCAAACTGGAAACCCTGGGCCACCTCTTCCACCAAACCCTGGAGAACCTACCATAAAGCCACCGGCACCTCCCATCCCAGGCCCGCCAAAACCAAAGCCACCACCGCCACCGGCACCAAGACCATAACCAAACCCAGCTCCTCCACCAGCGCCATATCCAGCACTAACGAAACCGGGTTGGAAGCCCCCCATGCCGGCACCGTAAGAGATGCGCTTGCTTCCACCCATGTTGTATAGACTTCGGCTGCCGAATCCACCGACTCCAATGCCGCCGCCACCTCCTCCAGCTCTTGCTCCTCCAACCCGAGCAACGGAATAGGAGCTGAAACTCGATCTTCCACCACCGCCACCACCACCGCCACCAACTATTGCGGAGCCAGAGCTGAAGCCTCTTCTTGCCCCTCCGGAGGATGATCGAAAGGATGTGAAACTCATGATGGTTTCTTTCAGAGAGAAAATGTGAGGAAAGGGTTTTGACTAGAAGCGGAGCTGCAGGGAAAGAGCAGAGGATGGAGAAGACGGAACCCCTCTGATATAGAGGAGCCAGAGACCTCCCCTTTTATCTGCTTGGGAAATAACCTGGCACGGGATCTCAGGCAACCTGATCTACTCATCATCTTGATATGCCTTGCAGCAACTTGTCTCATTAAAACACACCTACTTGAGGCGGTAGTATGGAATTGGGAGGAGGCACTTGTTTGCAATGAAGCGATAGACGTTTCCCCCTTTTTATTTTTAGTTAGGCGTCTCGTTAAAAGAAAAAAGAAAAGAAGAGGGAAATAGGAATAATTGTGGAAATTACTAACCACAATTGCCACCCGCCTCCTTCTCCAACAGAGCCTGTTTACACAAGGGCAGATAAAGACCATGCTGTAAGATACAGATCTCCACAAAGTGTAGCCATGTGAATTTCATGACACCATCAGGAGTCGTCTTATGGTTTCCAGTGAGATGGGAGCAAACTTTAAGCAACTGCCTGCCTGCAAAGGTGGTCTCCTGTTCCCTCTTCTGGCTTTTTTTGGAGGTGGAGGTGTTGATGTGCATAAATGATTTGTCATTTCCAACAACATTGTACTGACAACAGAGCTTTGATGTTCCTATGTAGTTTTTCTGCACCGTGAACTCTGTGAAGTGGATTGCAGCTGCCTGACAGTTGAATTACAGCTGTGGTTTGTTTAGCCCAATCCTGACTTCTCTGACTGGCACCCTCTCTCTGGAGTCTTCCCCAACCCTGTCAAATGAGATCCTTTCCTAGAGATCCAAGGACTAAACTGGAGATGTCCTGCAGGCAATGCATAAGCCCTGCCAGTGAGCTTTGCTCCTTAGACAAAGATAAACTACCCAAACGCCAAGACTAAACAGATGCTTGAATGAGGCTATCCTTTCTCTGAAGCCATCTCTGATTGCCCCTTGTTTAACAGTGCAATTCTATGCATGGTCACATAGAAGTAAGACCCTTGTGAGTATATTTAGGATTGCAGCCTTAAAGCCTCAACCGTCGGACTCTAACGGCAGAGGAACTTTCACATGCGGCTATAGATCTTTGCATTATAATTCAAAAACGTTTGCAAGCTGACCAGCTCCTTATCGCTGGTCTGGAAGATTTCTGGAGAGCAGAAGACCAAGAGGGTCAAGTGAATTCTAACATTGCTTTTTGCTCAGGAATACAGCATTTTAAGACAGGAAGGGGACTTAAGAGCAGAGTCAGTGGAAACCATTTGTGTAAGACTGGATTGTCTACAGAGCATGGCATTAGACTACCACCGAGACAACACCCCATCACTGGAGGCAGCAACCAAGATATGCTGATACAAATGGATCCTACTATTCTGTCTTTCCTCTTGTTAAAGCATCAGTTCTTCACTGACTTTAGGTAGGGAAACAAGCAGAGAGGGAGGGGAAGAATTAAAAGCAAAATGAGACCACCAACATCTGCTTTCCCAAAGTGCCTTACTTTATGTCATTATGGTTTCTTGTATTTTGCAACATTTCTATATCTTATTTTTCCTCCAAGGAGCTTAAGGTGGCATATGTAGCTCTCACAGATTCTCCATTTCATCCCCACCACACTTGTCTCTAGGTTAGGCAGAGAAACAGTGAGTTGCCCAAAGTCATGCAGTGAGCTTCACGGCTGTGTGGCAATTTGAAACCTGGTTTCCCAGGTCCTAATCCAACACTCTAACCACCATCCAACACTGTCTCTTATTTTTTAGAAGAAAGGCAGCTCTTATTAACAACAACAACAAAACAACCTGCACAAAAACGTTCAGTTTGAAATCTCCCACCCCCAATTTCAGGTCAATGCATTAAATACAGTTGTATTTGTTATTCCATTTTCTTGCATTTTAGAAATGATGGTTCCAAAATATTTGTAACGGTTTGAGGTCAGTAGAAAATCTTAATTTTATTTTTAAGTATGTTTTCAGAATTAAGCATCAGAGCAAATGGCGGGGTTGGATTCTTAAATCTATACATGCAATTCTTAAACCAATTACTCCAAAGTCGCCTTAGCGGCAAGGTTTCAGAATCAGTGGTTAGGAAATTGCAGTGTAGAGGTCACTAAGTGCAAGCTATGAACTGTGAGAAAGCACTTCATGTGCATCCTTGCTCAAGGGGAATTTTTGACTTTGGCTTTCTCATCCTTTAAGAGAGTAGAATACTGTATTTTTCGCTCTATAGGACGCACCAGACCACAAGACGCACCTAGTTTTTGGAGGAGGAAAACAAGAAAAAAAAATTCTGAATCTCAGAAGCCAGAACAGCAAGAGGGATCGCTGCTCAGTGAAAGCAGCAGTCTCTCTTGATGTTCTGGCTTCTGGGATAGCTGCACAGCCTGCATTCGCTCCATAAGAGGCACACACATTTCCCCTTACTTTTTAGGAGGGAAAAACTGAGTCTTATAGAGCAAAAAATACGGTATTTGAAAGTGGGGAAAATCCACCTATGGATGTATACCAATAACCGAGCGACCTGACAGCTTGATCCTGTGTTAGCTGAACTTAATGCTTCCTTTTTTATTCTGTTCAACCGGGCTTCATTGTGGTTTATGTGGCCACAAGAATGCTAAGCAAGTCTCTGCCTGGTCAACATCTGGATGGGGAACCACCATGGAGCCCAATGGAAGGAATTCTGCTCTATCCAAGAGGCAGAGGAGCTTGTAACTCACAGGATCAGCATGTTTCTCTCAAGCAGACAATCCTTGCTCTCACTGTCGCTACATACAGAGCTGACGACTGCACAGCATGACTAGAATTGGCAAAGTCACAGCATGAGAGTAGGAGTTTGCACAGTCAGACCTGTAAGGTACAAGCCCAGAGATCGTATCCAGACTGAATGGCTGAAGGGCACCAAGCATTGTCCCATTGCTGGAAATTTTTCCAAGATGAGGGTGGTGTTTTCGGTTCAGTTCCTCCCCGCCTCCTTTTCTTTTTTCCAGACTATCAAGAGACTTGATGGAACCTGAATCAAGGGCCAATTCCATTTCGCACAGCAATCAGAAAAATCTGATGTTTGCACAATTCGTTCTGTTTCCAGGCATTCCTGTCCCTGAACACCACCAATAACGTGAGTCATTCACACCCGAGGCTCATTGAAGGAGGATATGATTGCTGTTTGTATTATTTAGGATAAATCTGCTTCAGCTGCATGGGCAAGCCTGTACTGTAATCCTGGAAGTGTACAAGTTTGGGAGAGCATTACTCCTTGGGTGATCCTGGCAAACTCCCACCCCTCTGAGCCATTCCTTAGTCCTTGTGGAAGATGTCAACGCATAAGTTGAAAACATTATTTAAAGTTGGATTCATTTTTGACCCATGCATGCATTCACTGTACATTTGAATCTGCTTTTTTTAAAAATAAAAAAAACTACATTTTGGCACGTCCTCCCCACTACCCTGAAAGAGAGAGAGAATACATTGATATTTTATAAGTTGTTTTATTGTTTCCAAGTGTTATTCCTGTTTCTGATTTTCATGTCATCAGAATAGGTTTAGACGAATCCCTTTGCAAATTTGATACATTGCCATAGCTGAAAACTTCATTTGCATTCACGAGGACCCAGACATGTACAGTGTTTGTTACAGTGCAAGTTCCCTAACATTAGACAGTTTTTCAAATACACGCATCTGACCTTTTAAACAACATTCTGCATTTTTATTCTTCTTATATAACAGTTTAGCTCAAAATGGAACTTCTGGGCGAGTTTGTGTGAGTTGGGGTGGTGGTGGATCAGATTCAGGGCTGCTCTTTTAGAACAATTCATTCATGGTGATTGGTGAGACTTACACCAATTCTGGCAGGAAAAGAGGGGAAGTACAGTGGTACCTTGGTTTGCAACCGTCTTGGATTACAGTCGTTTTGGATTACAACCGTTTTGGATTACAACCGTTTTGGATTACAACCATGTCAAACCCATCAACCCCCCTTTTTTTGGATTACAACCCAATATTTTTTTTGGGAGGCCCCATTGGCGAAAGCGCGCCTTGGCTTACAACCTGTTTTGGTTTACAACTGGACCTCCAGAACGGATTATGGTTGCAAACCAAGGTACCACTGTATGTGTTCATTTTTTTGTCTTGCTCAGGTTGTTGGGGATTCTTTAGCCTTTAGCTCTTGATGCTCTTTTGACTGGTGGAAGTTTTAGATATAATTTTCACACCAGAGCTGCTTCCTCCCCCAGTGCCTTTTCCACTCCCAGAGCTGAAATTGCCCCCTCCTGAGCTAAACCCGCCACCTCCTCCTCCAAAGCTAAGACCACCAAATCCTCCTCCTCCTCCTCCAAGACCAAGACCAAGACCACCAAATCCGCCGCCTCCTCCTCCTCCAAAACCAAGACCACCAAATCCGCCTCCTCCAAGACCAAGACCGCCAAATCCGCCTCCTCCTCCTCCAAGACCAAGACCGCCAAATCCTCCTCCAAGGCCGCCACCTCCTCCACCGCCGCCACCGCCTGCACTGGAGCTGACAACAGCTGTGGGGGGAAAGGGGAAAGTTTATTAGGTGCCCATGGGGTTGACAAACTAGACAATTCCATCTCCCCGCCCCAGTTATTCATGTTTCTAATATTAAGTTCAATTTCCATAGCAGTTTGCATATACGGTCGTACCTCGGAAGTCAAACAGAATCCGTTCCGGAAGCCCATTCGACTTCCAAAACGTTTGGAAACCAAGGCGCGGCTTCCTATTGTCTGCAGGAAGCTCCTGCAGCCAATCAGAAGCCACAATGGACATTCGGGTTCCAAAGAAGGTTTGCAAACCAGAACAATCACTTCTGGGTTTGCGGCATTCGGGAGCCAAAACATTCGACTCGCAAGGCATTCGACTTCCGAGGTACAACTATTTTTAAAAGTTCTGAAAATTCACCAGCATTTTAGTGCACGTTATACACATTTTTTGCAAACAGTTTCCATATGCATTTTGGTATATAATTCTCCCTCA